CCGAACGAACGAGATCATGTAACTGGGCCGGCTCAGTGCACTTGATCCTTATGCGTTTGGTTGACATTATGACGCAACGAGCATTAAATAGGGATTCCCGATACTATGGACTGGTTGAAGTTCCTAACTGAATACACACCAAATACAACAAATACGAGACAGTGTTGCGGTCGTGAGAAGTAAAGTCGGCCAGGGATACCTCATACCTGAGATCGAGCTAGAACCGAATTTTCGAATGAGTGAACCGACGAACCATATGAATTTTCTTAGAACTAAGAAGTTGGTGTTAATATAATCCTCTATAGAATGATCATGTTAGGACAATGTAATCTGCTACTTACTTTCTATGCGTTTCAGCACGTTCAAACACTGTACAAGTGTACAAATGGGTAGATTTTGATTTGGCCACTCGGTGTCGTTTTAATTGTTTTGGTTAGATCCTTGACTTAATGTCTTAATCCAGGAAGTCACTTATTGGATCCATACATGATCGTTGCTTCGCTTGGAGGAGGACCAGGGGAGATGATCGCTCAAGGTTTATTCAACCGATTTGGATGGCCGCTTAATAATAGGAAATGTGATGTATGCCACTTCATATTTCTTTTTAGCTCTAGGTTGTACGTAATTTCTTCCTTCATTCCCCCTTGCGCACTAAAGACTTTCCAGCTACTTGTAAAGTTGGCAATAAGTAATGGAGGACTGTATGCATCGGTCGATGCAAAGGCCGGCAGTGTCTACCCTCTTTTCAAAAAAAAAAACCAACACATCTGTTATTTAATTCTGGAGTCAAGTAGCACAATTCAGTCAATCACAATATGTAAATGCATCTCGCAGATATAGGAAAACAAATACAGAAATAAGTATGTCTAGCAAAAGCTATCCTCCAAAACCTTAGTGAACTCCATCAGATCTATCCTCCTGTCATTGTTCGTGTCATATCTAGCAATCATCTGCTCAGCCTCATTGACCCCTACCCGATCACCTAATCCCAAGTTCTGGAGGATTCTTCTCAAATCCAATGCATCGATGTACCCATCATTGTTCTCATCGAAAACCAAGAATGCCATTTTCACTTCCTGGAAGCTTGGTTCGTCGTTGTCGAAAAGCGTAGAACTATACTCACAGCTCTTCTCTTGATCAAAATCGAGTCCCATCTTTCTCATGGCTACCTCGGCATCTGACTGCGTCGCATTCATCTCATCATATTCACTCTTATTTGGTGCCTTCGATGTCTTCTTCTCGGCGAGGACCGGCGTCGAGGTTGTCGTGGAGACAGTACAATTGCAGGATTGGCAACAAGAAGTGGGAAGGAGACTTTGAAGCTTTGAGATGCACCAGGTGAGGATGAAAAGGATGAGAATACCAACTGGCTCTTGGAAAAGTGGTGCATGATGGCATCCTGCTGTGGCTGGGGACTTCTCCATTGTCTGAGCTATGAGCCTGAGATCTGGTTGTTTTGGTGTGGGAAAGATCATGTATCAGTGAAGGTTTATATAGGAAGGGAAGTTGCTGTTTCTTGTTTGTTTTTTCTAGGCTTGTAGCTTCATCCTTCAACAGAATCAATATGAAAGATCTAGGCAGATGAGAGGATGTTTCCAGTTTGAAAAAACTTATGGAAAAATAGTAGACAAGACAGCAAGATGATGACTTGTTGTCTAAGATTCAAAGAGTGTGTGCATGGTCGTGGTTTTTGTTGCTTCTTTCAATCTTCTTTTACTCCACTGGATGTTTCCTGGAAAAGTCCGATGCATGTTCAGTGCCGCCATGATGTGGTACTACTTAGTTGAGTTCACACAGTATGGTTGGCAACTTCGTTGTGTCTATGTTGGGAGACATACAGGACATGATGTGTAAATAAATGTTCATACTTGGTTAGTCCGAGTGTGCAGTTTTTGACTCCTTTTCCCCAAGTTGAATATGCTATATGCATGGTGCTTACACAGAAATTTCAGGGAAAGCAAGAAGCCGGTATTTCCTTGGAAAAAGAACAAGACTTGATCGAGACCTGAGGGACATCTTCTGAAGAAGACTCAGACCCGAGTAAAAGTATTCTTCTGTAACTTTTTATATCAGAGTCAATTTGCTGCCTTGTGCAAATCTTGCTTGTCAAGATGATTCCGATTTCTTGTCCACGGCGAAGGTCTAGATTTGTTCATCGCTGAGCTATTAATTGTCCAAGAAATTAATTGTTACTTGAACAACCTGTCTTTTGGGAGGTTATTAGGTTACCATACGAGTCCTTGATATGACTGAAGAAGCAAAGTATTTTCAGAGCCTTACGGTCACTTTCCTTCATATCTTTTCAATATCGGCGGTGCATATCACTTTCACAAGCCACAGCGTGTTCATATGTCTCTATCTGTCAGATAAGCGCGTACGTCTTGTCTTTCTCTACCAGTTTATCGCTTTCAGACAGGTTCATTGCGTGGAAACTGCCCGAACTCTTAACAAAGGTGAAAAGAGCTCATTGGTGCTTTTGAACGCCACACCAACAATAAGATACTACTCCCTTTGTACCTAAATATAAGTCTTTTTAGACATTTTAAATGAACTATGACATACGAATGTATGTAAAGTTATAAAATATTTTAAAGTGTAGATTCATTTATTTTGCTTTATATGTAGTCACATGTTGAATCTCTAAAAAAGACTTTTATTAAGGAACGGAAGGAGTACTAGTATATGCTAGTGCCTGTGACTCATGAACGCTGTGGAATTCAGTGATAACCTGTATCATAAATAAATAGTTTTTTTTAGGAATGGAGGATGTATCCCCGGTCTCTGCATCTGAACGATGCATGCAGTCATATTATTAATTATTCATAAAGACCATACAAGATGATACATCAATAAGCATGAAGCCATCAACTTGGCAACGCTGTTGCTACTCCTATCCCGTTGATGAAGGTGTGCCGAATGTCCAGGCCTAATACCAAACAGACATCGCACCAAAACCTAACATCTAAAGCCGGGTGTCCCATCCAAGCCACTACCTGGATTGGGGCACACACCGGTCCGGCACACTCCCAGTGAGCACCGCACGCTGCATGGGCCATCACCTCCATCTTCCATCTGTCCATCCTCAGAGCAGAACTGACGCACCGACCATGCCAGGCCCCTCTGCCATCAGCGCCACCATGACACCAGACAGCTTCCTCCTCCTGCGCGAGTCCATCTCTGCGCATCGGGCGTCGAGTCTCCACTGCGCCATGCCGTGGAGACCAATCGTCGATGATACTGTTGATGCCACACCGCTCCACCTACATGCCATCTCGCGTCGACTCTGAACTACCAGCAACTGATCCACCACCCTGAGCAGTCCTCGGCCGACGCCTTCAAGAAGGAACACGACACCAAAGTGCCATCGTCGCCCAAACAGAGGAATAGAGGCTTTCGCATGCGCTCATGGCAGAGGTGGGGGCGTAGGATCCACACCGAAGCCTTCAGAAAGGGAATCGGTGCCGAGAGCGTCGACTTTGGTGCGGCCGCCAAGCTGGCCTGGAGTTTCCCCCGGATCAATGCCCACCCGCCAGATCCGTCTAGCCAACACCGGGTAGGTATTAGAACTAGCACGAACCGGAGCAGATCGAGTCGGAGATGATGCTACCGGGATTCACAGCCGGCCGCCGCCTGCCAGATTCCCACCGCCGCGCACGTCAGAGCTGACTCCGAACGATGCCGGCCTCACACACACACACCTCTGGCCACCCCCAACTACGCCAGTGAGTGGGGGCAACCTCGGCGCGCGCCCACCGGCGCTCAGGGCCGCCAGGCCGGCGCCCGAGCCCACTCCATCTGGAGGGGAACCGATCTAGGGTGGGCGCCCCAGATCCGCCGCCGCCAGCCGGCCCCACGCTGCCCCCGCAGCCGTGAAGGCACAACCGCCACCAGAATCCGATCGGGCCGCCGCTCCATCGCGCACACTCCGCCTCCACGCCGAACGACCAGGTTCGCCATCACGTTTCGGCCAGAGGATCTTCTCGCGAGGAGAGGAGGAAGGTCCGCCGTCCGCCGTCCGTCGGGCGAGCTTCGCTCGCCGGCCTCCTCTGGCGGCGGTGGGGAAGCAGGGGGGAGGGAGGGCCTAGAGGCGACGGCGGCTAGGGCGCCCGAGCCGCCTCCCTGGAGGCGACGCGAGTGCGGCTGATCTAGGGTATCACGCCAAGCGTCCTCCGCGGCGAGAGCTACTCATGGGCGTGTATAAATATAGGTCTTGCCTGCATGCTAATGTTCGCTGTAAATTTCACTAGAGACAAACTTTGACGTTAGGATATGCTCTGCTAGGCGTCAAGATTCAACTTGGTAAAACCAACTTGGTGAGCCTTTTAGTGTAGTTTTACCCCATCAGATAAGTTAATTTTCAGCTTAGTGGGGGCTCACAAGCTATCTACCCAAGTGCTGAACCCACTATGGGCTCAAAATAAAGGGACCAACTTTAGTTTAACTGAAGTCTGCAGCCCACGCACTAGCTGCATGCCTGCATAGACCAGGAAAAGAAAATCTTGTACCGGATTGGGAAGAAAATCCGGAGAATTAATCATCTGCACCATGTCACCATCCTATATCTATATGCAAGAAATTGCATGGTACACTTTTGATCCCCAACTTCCTGCTTTTTACTTATACCCCTTGCAACCTATTCCTGACCATAATCATTCCTTTGATGCCTCCTTTTCTGCTCGGCCCTTTTCGCGTGCGTGCCTAGCAATTCGCCAAATTTTCAAGCACGCGTGCCAACGAAATGCTAGCCACTTTTTGAGTCATAATAAAAAAGCTCATCATGTGCGCTAATGAAGCACTTAGAAAAGATGCTTAACTACTTACATAGCAACTAACTAAGGCTGTGGAGGATGCTTCAGAAGCCTCAATCTGCAGCACCTTGCTCCATGACACAGCTGTGAGCCGTGCTATAAAGTAGCTTGCAATTCAGGACAGGTCCTCTGCATCTACATGAGTGAGCCCTCGATCGTGGGTGCAGAAGAAGAGTAGGAACACTTGGAGAAATGCTTCAGACGAGACAGATGGAGAGATTGCCTCCACTGCACCTGGCAGTGGTGTCTCTGCTGGGCTTCTTCTGCCTCATCCATGCTTCAAGGGCTGCGATCTCATTCCCACCTGGTAATCGTCTCATGCTATCTATCTAGAGATTTAGTTATACTGTTCTGAGTTCTTTCTGACTGAGAGGACAATTTATTCCCATATGTATGCATCAGCGGCCCCGAGGGTGCAGCTGCAGAAGATCGACGCAATCCCATCTTCCGGTGGAGCAGATGGCCAGGTGATAATACTACTTGAGCGTTCATGCAAGTAGCAAGTAGCTATGTCAGGTGGAAACTCTAATTGGCCTGAATTTTTGGCATGATCACCCCAGGCCGCCGTCATAGTGGGAGAGCCCGACCACGGCGGTGTCAGCGGGAGGATGGAGATGGAGATGGAGCTGGAGGACTACCCGGGCTCCGGAGCCAACGACCACCACTCGCCGTGGTGGCGGCAGGAGAGGAGGAACTGAGAACATGGAGCAAAGCTGCATGTGTGTTCCTAGTGCTGCACGGTTCCACATGTTTCTCAAACTGTAATATCTCTACTTTTTTGGTGTAACATACCAGAACGAAGCTTGTTACTTGCAAGGGCTTTGATTGCTTGTTTGTGGCACGTAATTAAACTAGAACTTTTTCTGCACCAAGATGATTTACAGCTTTAATATAGCAGAAGCTGTGTTGATTATTATGGCATTTTAGTTGAATAAGAAAAAAATATATCGTCATATATCTAAAACTCATGAACAGAGGAACCACAGAATCTCTGGTTTCGTAGACCAGCGCCTTATCCATTGGGCCACGGAGTCTTGTGTGCTGATTTAAATCTATTATGTGTACCGAACAAGAATAAGACAAGAGTGCACAACATTACATTTCTAAGTGTGAAACGTGTTGAAGGTTTTGCTTGGTTTCATTTACGGCGACTTGATGCCCAAGATGGAGATGGGAGGAGAAGCTGGAGCTCGGGTTACATGGCTGCCACGCTTGCTTACCGCGCCCGACAGGTATGACCGATGTAGTAGAAACTCGGTGGGTTATATTTGTAAAAGCCAAGTACCATATGACCTTGTTTGTAGCGAGTTCTCATGCTTCATTCATTTCAAGGGGGCAAAGATGCTGCTGATGCTTTCCACATCTACACCAGGTTACCACCTATGACCCGTCTAATTTCCCGCAAAAAAATAATTTCCCCAAAGGATGATGATGCTATTCTCAACTATTTCAACGAAGCTGGGCGGTTAGTTGAACCCATTTGGTAATATTATCTCTCCTCGCACATTATTTCATCCTGCATGACTACAAATGGATTGGTTTTTGCGTGCCTAAAATATGTCACATTTTCTTCATGGTTTTGGTGAATGGGAGTGGAGGCATTAGCGCTCGATGGATCAGCTCAGCTATGTCCCAAGCTGTAATCCGAGAGATATTATCGCTAATATGAAAGGGGAGTGCTTCGGTACAACCCCCCTAAAACGTATAGTGGGTAGTATGGTAATTTCACATTAGGTATAGGAATACCCACCCGACGCCGTACGTCGCGCGCGACGTCGTACGCCCGCCCGCGTATGCCGAACCCGTCGATGTACGCCCGCCCGCGTACCCGCACTCGTCGTTGTACGCCCTCACGTCTCGACGTTGGCGTGGATAGTTGTTGGAGGAAAAAAAAGACACGATAGCCGCTGACGCCCGCGGTCGAAACCCTAAACCCTAACGCATCCACGCCGTCTCCACGTTGGCCCCCATCTGCACGAAGTCGCCGTCGCCCGAGTCGCGGCCCAAACAGGCCGCCGCGCGTGCCCCGGCGCCTTTACCGCTGCCGGCGTGCGTGCCCGCCGCCGCATTCCATTCCCGTCGCCCAGATGGCCGCCCACCCGCGATCTACGTCGCCGCCTCCCTCCGCACACTACGCCTACTACGACCAGCCATCGTCCTCACGCCGTCGACACCTGCCTCCGCCGGCCAGCAACGTCACGCCGTCATCACGTTCGTCATCGGAGGAAATTGATCCGGCTGAAATCCTCGCCGCCGTGCAAGAGGTTGGTTTGAGACATTGTTGTGCTTGATAAGATAGTTGTTTTAGGGATGATGTTACACGGCGTTTGATTCATCGTACAATTTTTTTTAACTATATATAGTTAGAGGAGGAGGGAGATTATGATGGCGATGATTACGGCGAGGACAACGAAACCTCGTCACGGAATATGGATGAACCTCGTGAGGAGAACTACATGAGTTTGGATGAATCTTATAGTGGCAATGTAAGTGTGATCAATGTTGATAAAACAATAAATATGAGGGGGTAAATATGATAGACCGCACGGAAAATTTAATATTTTTTTGCATGATGCAGCGACATGGCGATGATGATGATGATGATATGGATATAGATGATTCATTTGCTGAAAGTGCACTCCGGGTATGTTATTAATAAAATCAGAGAAGAAATGACATAATAACCATATGAGCGCTTACATGTTTTTTTTGCAATGCGCGCAGATGGACGAGGACGGGGACTTTATGAGGAATATTGTGGACGATGAAAGTGACAAATCGCACGTTGATGCATCTCATGATGACAGCTCCAGCAAAGTAAGTTTTGAAACTTACATCACTAAAGTACATTTTAAAATTATAACTGATTGACATAAATGGTTTAATGCATTAATTTACAGGGAGATGTAGATGGTACAAGCGGGAATGATGAGCATGTTGGTGATGATCTGTTTAATTTTGACATCGGATTTGATGAATATCAGCAAGAATCATTGGACATGCATTGGAAGGTCATGAGGAAGACGTTCAAGTCACTAGGAGATGCTTACAATTTCTATAATCAGTATGCGTACGAGCATGGTTTCAGCGTAAGAAAGGACTCACTGAAATATTCGAAAGGTCCTGAGGCAACTAAGCGCTTGAGAAAGTATGTGTGTGCGAGAGCTGGAAACGACAGGCAAAACGTTGTACAATGGAAGGCAGGACCCGCAGGCTGAGAGGGGAGACTCGTTGCTTCTGCGATGCGCATATAACTTTGAAACTTGATAAAGAGCGTGACGTTTGGTATGTCAGCAGTTTCAATGATGATCATAGTCACGTTCTAGCTAGACTGGATGAAGTCACGTTTCTTCGGTCTCACAATCAGATAAAAGAATATCAGAAGGCTGAGATCTTAACCATGGCAGGTGCTGGAATCAGAAAACATATGATTTATGATTAACTCGTTGCGCGCTCCGGGTCATATGCAAAGGCTGGTTTTGGGAGGAAGAAGCTTTATAACATGTGTTATAGAGAAAAAATGAAGTTGCTTGCACAAGGTGATGCAGATACTGCCATTGGGATCATGATGACCAGAAAAGAGAGAGATCCAAATTTCTTCTTTGAGCACACCGTCGATGATGAAGGAAGGCTGAAAAACATATTCTGGTGTGATTCTCAATCACGTCGAGACTATGTTGACTACGGTGATGTGACAGTCTTCGACAGCACATACAGGATGAATAGGTATGGCATGCCATTTATACCTTTTGTCGGTCTGAACAACCATCGTCGCACCACGGTATTCGGTTGTGCTCTTGTGTCTGACGAGACGGAAGATACATATGTCTGGCTGCTTCAGACGCTTTTGAGTGCTCACTGTCAGAAGAGGCCCAGGTCAGTAATTACTGATGGAGATGCAGCTATGATTAAGGCCATAAGAAAGGTACTTTCGGAGGTTTGGCATCGTCTTTGCTCGTGGCATATTGAGAAGAACATGCAGAAACACCTTCATCATAAGTCTCTAAAGGAGTTCAGGTCTCTACTTTATTATGCCACTTCAAAAAAGGTATTTGATGAGAGATGGGCAGCGTTTACCGCCAAATGGCAGTCGGAGAAAACAAAGACATGGTTAAGTAGGATGTATAAGAAGAAAAGGCTTTGGGCTGCATCATATCTGTCAGGTGGGTTTTTCTTAGGTATGCGAAGTAACCAGCGAAGTGAGAGTCTGAATTCATGCCTTCACTTGCATCTAGACTCCGGTATGACTATTGTGGATATGATTGTGCACTATGAGAACTGCATAGTTCGTCTCCGTGAGAATGAGGCGCATGACGATTGCACAAACTCACAGACAGTTCCAGTACCAGTATTGGATGAGTGTAAAGATATTGAGAAATCAGCTGCCTGTGAGTTCACTACGGCAAACTTTTATATCTTGCAGGAAGATATGAAGAAGGCACGGGAGCTAGAGGTCCTTGAGAGACTGAGAGGAGCAGACACTCACAGATTCATACTAACATGGAAGGAAAATAGACATATCAGATTCACTGTGGACTACACCCCAGGTAACTTAGAAGAAACTGTGAAGTGCAGTTGCAGAAGCATGTATCGCAAAGGACTTCCTTGAAAACATATTCTTCACGTTCTGATTCAGCTACGCTTACGTGAGATACCTAAGTGTTTAGTACTACGGAGGTTGAGCCAAGTTGCAAGGGGTGGACTTCCCGTGAAGCGCACTAGCGATCTGTTTGCATGGGGATGGGCAGGTGCAGGGGACAGAGCTAGGTACAGCGAGTTGACTATCTTATCTGCTGAAGCAACTCAATGAACTCATAAAGCATGCCATAAACCATTTTTATTCGACAAGTTGAAGGCGGCTCTGAGGGACATAATAGATAATGATTACACTGAGGATGTGTTGGGGAACGTAGCAATTTCAAAAAAATTCCTACGCACACGCAAGATCATGGTGATGCACAGCAATGAGAGGGGAGAGTGTGATCTGCGTACCCTTGTAGATTGACAACGGAAGCGTTAACTTGGTTGATGTAGTCGTACGTCTTCACGGCCCGACCGATCAAGCACCGAAACTACGGCACCTCCGAGTTCTAGCACACGTTCAGCTCGATGACGATCCCCGGACTCCGATCCAGCAAAGTGTCGGGAAAGAGTTCCGTCAGGACGACAGCGTGGTGACGATCTTGATGTACTACTGTTGCAGGGCTTCGCCTAAGCATCGCTACAATATTATCGAGGACTATGGTGGAAGGGGGCACCGCACACGGCTAAGAATATGATCATGTGGATCAACTTGTCTCTAGGGGGTGCCCCTGCCTCCGTATATAAAGGCTCAAAGGGGGGGCTGGCCGGCCAAGAGGAGGCGCGCCAGGAGGAGTCCTACTCCCTCCGGGAGTAGGACTCCCCCCCTTTCCTAGTTGGAATAGGATTCGCAGAGGGGGGAAAAGAGGAGAGAGAGGAGGAAGGGGGGCCGGCCCCCTCTCCTTGTCCTATTCGGACCAAGGGGGGGAGGGGCGCGCGGCCCATCTATGGCGACCTCTCCTCTCTTCCACTAAGGCCCACTAAGGCCCATATACCTCCCGGGGGGTTCCGGTAACCTCCCGGTACTCCGGTAAAATCCCGATTTCACCCGGAACACTTCCGATATCCAAACATAGGCTTCCAATATATCAATCTTTATGTCTCGACCATTTCGAGA